GTAGGAACCGCTACATATCTTTGTGATTAGGTTTTCATATAACAGGTCAAGTGAAATAGTTTCATTCTGTATATTTAATCCACATATTTTTGTTTCTTAATATATCATTTCAAACAAAAGTTTTTTGTTATAAATATTTTCTTTGTCTAAAATTTTAATATTGTCCCAATCAAAATTATGAGATGTTTTTTATTCTATGTTCAGTAATTACCGATGATTGAGCAGTGTTTCTATTAATATGATTTCTATGTTCAGACATCCGTACTTTAATGCATCTGCTCGTCTTACCAACGTAAGAGGCATCGCAATCTTTGCAGTAAAGTCTACAAACTACATCTGCCTGCAAAGTTATTAGTACCGAATCTTTCTGTACTCTAATGAAACTGTTCAATTTTTGGATCTCTCTGTATGCAATCGTCATACCGGAATTTTTTAAATAAAATTTTTTATTTTTTCTGAGATGGAAGGAATATGAATGGAATTACAAAGAATCTTCGATTGTTTTCTTTGGTAGGTAAAGAATAATCCGAAACGTTATTCTTATTTAAATGTTGGAATTTGTGCTATAAAATATTTTTTTTATTTTTATTGACTTTTAATGAAGAATGTATTTTAATTTATAATACTTCATATTTTATGTAACATTGAAAATGACCCGATCGGAGTCGAAACGTTTGTTTTTGATATGTTTATATGATTGTTTTAAATTAAATTGTTCGTTAATTTACTTGGCTTGTTACTCTCTTTATATTTGAATTTTTTTTTATTATTGAAAAAATTAATTTTAAAAGGTAACCATTATTCAATAAGATGTTAATTATAGTATCCAAATTTTTTTGGTGGAATTTTGGATAAAATAACAGAATTGCTTTGTCTATTAAGCCTACCATAATGTTAATTTTTTATAAAAGAGGATAGCAAGAATAATAATTAAAAAATCGGCCTGGAAATATCGGTTTTCGATACCAATCATTAATAATACGATTATCTTCTTTAATTAAAAAAACATCTAGGAAGCTAAGAGAATCTCCAACCATACTCTATAATGAACTTTAATCGTGAATGATATAAATTAAATGTATCTAAGTTTTCGTTGAGGTCTGAAGATACAATGATCATAAAGATGTCATCAACATATCTTACAAAAGAAGATGTTACTGAAAGTTTGTTTAACATGAGAGACTCTAAATCTTATATGACAATGTCTGCGATTATGGGAGATAATGGAGAGCCCATCGATATTCTAAAGGTCTGTTTGTAAAAATTATTGTTGAAAACGAAAAACGAGGAATTAAGAACTAACTTTAATGTTTTGAAAAATTCTGATTTTGATATGTTGAGAACGTTCCAATTGCCTACATGCATGATTTTACATATTGCTCGTTGATTGGCCAATTTAAAAATAATATAACCTCATTGGTAAAGCAGAGAAAAGTTACTAGGCACCGGCCGATGTGAGTGGTGTGTGCAATCGGGAATGTAGGCAAACGGAATCCTCCTATAAAAGTATACGAGAGAATATCCCAAAGATACCTAATTTCATAAAAAAATAGCCAACAATTAGTTAAAAAATTAAATAATGTGACACTTATTTAATTGATCAAATGATGATCAAATTTTAATATCTTTAGACGTAACATCTCTGTTCACAAATGTTCCAATTGAATTAGCTATTAAAAGTATAAAGAAAAGACCGTCACTTATCTCAATAAAACAAAAATATCTCTTGAAAAATTTTAAATTGCAGTCAATTTAATTTTACATTTAACACATCTTACTTTTACATTGCTGACATTTGCTTTAAATAAATTTATGTATCAATGGATTCTTCTATCTCGTCTATAATATCTAATCTCTAAGTGATGAAAGATATAGGAGAAATAGCAATAAACAAATTGATATTTAACATACTGTTCTTTAGATATGTAAAAATTATAATTGAGTTATTTAGATGTTAAATTAATTAGAGAAAACATAAAATTATTCTTGATTTATACACTACTCAACAAATTGTAGGGAACACTTTCGAACACGCTAAAAATTGGGCAATATTCAGAACACCGTAACTCAATGAAAAATCATCGCAGACAAAAAATTAAAAACGCACTTTAAAGGTTGAAATCTCTAATTGAAATTTCAATATGACTGACACTTTACGGAGTTATACGAACACAAATGGATATTCGTCAAATCTAAAAATTTTTTATAAATTTTACGAAGGTTTATGGCATAAGATAAAAATTACACGAAAATGCGGTTTGCAGCAGTCGATAGAATGTGCCTTCCAATACTATGATCACTTAAAAAAAAAAAAGATGAACATTTTTACCTTTCAATCTAACTGATCTTTGTCGAATTAAACTGTATGGATACAAACGGATATCTGTCAAATATAAAAAATACCGTATAATTTTGTACAAATTTCAGAAAGGTCTATGGCGTGGAGTAAAAATTAGACAAATATAAGTTTAAATTGAAAGTAAAGATTTACTCTATCGACTTCTGCAAACCGCATTTTCGTAATTTTTACTATATGCCATAAAGACCTTCGCAAAATTTGTGCAAAATTTTCAAATTTTATGGATATCCATTTGTGTCCATATATAATTTCGTAAAGTATCAATCACATTGAAATTTTATTTATAGATTTCGAAAATAAAGATTTTCAACCTTTAAAATGTTTTTTTAATTTTTTTTCTGCGATGATTTTTTCACCAAATGCAGTGTTCTTAATATTACCTAATTTTTTGCGTGTTCGAAAATGTTCCCTAGATTTTATTGAGTAGTGTATAAAAAAACAGTGTCAGATAGATATTTAAATTTTAATTCTCAACATCCGATTATTCACAAAAAGTATCATTATTGGAATGGTGGATAAATTTATAATGTGATGCACTTACGGTATCATTTAAAAAATATCAGTATAGTTAATACTTCACTAATAAACTTTATAAATAAATAATATTATCTATTAAATTATTTTTAGGACGATTAATAAAACAAAAATTGCACTAAAAATGCATAAAAGGGAAGCAATCTTCAATGGCTTTGACCTTGACATATGTTGAGGTCATGACCTTGAGTGACTTTGAAAAGATTTCAACCGTCGCTCGTTATCCAATAAAAAGTTTTAACAAAAGAGATATTCAGCAATGTAACACAATTTTTTAACACGACTGTGCTCCGATAAAACAAATTCTGTGCTTTAAAAATGCAAATTTCTTTCTTATATAATTTTTGTCGAGTAGTGTATATAATCTCGTACGGAATGTAAAAGATTGGGGGTTCGACTCACAGCCGATGTAATATCTTTTGCAATAAAAATTAATTATTTACAGATTTTAATATATTGTTCAACATTATTAAGATAGATCTAAGTTGTGTAAAGAGCATCAAAAATTGTTAAATTTTTAGTCAATTTACATAACTCGTGATATTACTGTGGTAGTTTATTAGAGCTTGCGTTTCAAGTCTGAAAAAACTGTTTAGCGCGTAATTAAAAAGAGCGTAGTAAAAAATGTGTTTTTGAAGCAGAGAATTTGTTAGCAGAAAATTTATCTTCAAAGCAGAAAATATAGTATTATGTATAATTTACATCTCTTGCTTTCTTTTTATATGTATATAAATAATTTCCATATCTAGATATGTAATTTGAAACGCTCATTATAAAATAAACTCTTGGATCATAGATTGCATAATTTATTCGCTAATATACATATTAGAAAGAAGCCTCGAGAATAATATACCCACGTTTTAAATAACCTATAATACTTGAATTTGCTGGCAGCATGGCACAGTAAATAAGAATTAATAGATTATATTTTTAATGCTTCTTTAAGTTTATCTTTAGATTCTCTGTGAATTATTTTATTGGTTACTAAGCCTCTAAGGATAAATTTAAGGAAGCTTTACGTATAAGGTCTGAATATGAATACGAGCCTAAAATTTTCTAAAGATGCGTTCCATGATTTTACGCTCCTGAAACCATGGTGGAAGTATACTTCCACCATGCCTAAAACCATTTCATTCTTGTTATTTATCAAATATCAAACAAGGAAAAACGATGCTCGTGAATTTGACTGTACGACAAAGAGAGGTATTATCGCAAATTGTTGACTTACTCGGCACGCGGGAACGTGTTCTAGCGGCTCACAATCAGTGCAAGTTCCAGTTGTAATCGGCTGATTAGTCCGCCAAATTGAGGCAAAGCGGAAGTTGCATGTTTGCCAACTGTGAAGAAATAAAATTGCTGCGATTGATTTGGGTATCGAATCATGAAACTTTTTCTCTAGGATGAAAAGTAAAAAGTGAAAAATTTCTCCATTAAACTTCAATATCAATGGTAAAAATGTTCCATAGAACTTATATATACTAGAAGTTCTATGAAATGTTCACTTTTCACTTTTTATCCTAGGGAGAAAGTTTCATGATGGATACCATCACCATGAAGAATATTCTTCATGATTGATACCTTGATTACATCTTCATGCGTTGTGTTTTTTCCTTTCATGTTTTGTATCAATGTTACTTTGCTATATCTAAGAATAAAAGAGTGAAAGCGCTAATGCTACAAACGAAATTTAAACGGAGAAATATATGTTTTTTTCATGCGTTTGAATCAGCTTGACTTCTATCTGATTTTATCAATAATAAAACAAATTATTGAACTCTCAAGATTTAAAAATTAATCAATTAAATAAAATAATAAACGGACAAGTGTGCGAGAATCAAATTCGCAAGTTAAAAATTTGCGTAACAAATTATAATATATTTACAACATTTCTTTAAATATCTTTATATTTGAGTATATTTGAAAATGCTCACAGGTTCGACCCATTTCCGGTTTTGTGTCATTTATGTTGTTGATTACTCTTATTTATATGCTCGAAACGTCATCGTATCACCGCCACATCTACACTTACATCTATATTCTATTTTGTCACATGAACGGCGCGCAGGTGTGCGCGATTCTCGCGTGAAGTACGTGTCCATGTCCGCTAGCGTAGCGTAATCAAACACGATGGAGAATCATGAGGAAGATGAGCTGGAAGAGCTTCGTTCTACGATCTACACGTTCCCGCAGAATGTGCAGAAAGTGATCGAGCAGGTTAAGTCCACACCGCGAGTTTTTATTTTCTTCTCGCCAGAAATAACGGCGCTTCTTTCTTTGAATTCTATTCACAATCCTCTTTTATACTTTATATTTCTATTTTTCAATAAAATGATATCTGTCTTTACTAGAACCATCTGTTTCCTCAATGTCTACATGTCATTGTTGATTTCGTGTATAATTATGTCTATACAGTACTTTTGTATGTTTTTTTGTAAAACAAGCTTAACATTTTGTCTTTTTTGCTATCAGGTCTTAACTATTACCGATCCATTAGATCAACCTAATTTCAATGTAGTGGATCACATAAACACATTATTTCCCACGGAACAATCACTGTCAAATATTGATGAAGTGGTGAATAAAATAGAAAATAAGATACATACTATTGACAAAGAGATACGGTCAGTCGTACGTGGTCAGACAAATGTGGGTCAAGATGGTAGAGCAGCATTGGAAGATGCACAGAAGGTGATAAAGCAATTATTTATCCATATAAAAGATATAAAAGACAAGGCGGAGCAGTCTGAAGAAGCGGTCAAGGAAATTACAAGGGACATCAAACAGTTGGATTTTGCTAAGAAGAATCTTACTGCTTCAATAACAGCACTGAATCATTTGCATATGCTTGTGGAAGGAGTGGATAATTTAAAGTACACACGTCTTGCTTTATTTTGCAAAATGTTTAAATATTGTTCAAAATTATAAATGTACTTTTATGTTTCTTTAGAATATTGACGCAAAAGAAGCAGTATGGAGAAATTATCTTACCATTGCAAGCAGTCATGGAAGTGATGCAAAATTTTAATAGCTATATGGACATACCACAAGTGAAGCAATTATCTGATCAAGTAAGAGCAAAAAATTGCTGATATGAGCCAACACTAGTCAAAATGTATATGTTTTTGTATGATTCCGAATAAATTGTTAAAAATATACGCTTATAATTATTGTTGACTCATATCGGCAATTTTTGTTTTTATTTTCTTGATTTATTCCACTAAGTCTTTTGATTATCTTAATTATTTTATTTTTAACTAATAAACAATTCTCTTTTAACAAATTTTTTTTTTAATATATTTGATTTATTTTTTAATGTGTTTTCTTTTTGTTCTTTTTTAATAAGTTTTCTTTTGTTTAAAGGTACGTCAGATCCAGGATGAATTGGCCCAGCAGATTACAGCAGATTTCAAGCAAGCCTTTTCAGGCCAGAATCCAAAACATTTCAATCAGTTGACTGAAGGATGTTTAGTATTATCAGTATTACACCCTAAAGTAAAGTGTGTATATTATGTAGATACTTGTATCTAAGTAATGATAGAATTCTAATGTTTCAAATACTTCTTTTCTTCCAAGGAAAGATCTGCTCGTTTGGTTTGTAAATATCCAATTACAAGAATACGCACATTTATTTGATGAAAATCAGGATTTTGCCTGGTTGGATAAGATAGATCGAAGATATGCGTGGATCAAGAAACATTTACTCGATTTCGAGTCGAAGTTTGGTACAATTTTTCCTCAAGACTGGGAAATTTCCGAGCGAATAGCTGTACAATTTTGCCATGTCACACGAGAAGATCTTACTAAATTAATGAATAAGAGACGTAATGAAATAGATGTTAAATTATTGCTGTACGCGATTCAGAGAACCAGTAATTTTGAGACGCTACTATCGAAGCGTTTTATCGGCAGTACTTTGGAGACTTCCGATGCTAAGACCATGCTAATTAGTAATAAAGTTGTGGAGAAGGTTCCGGGAAATCCTTTTGAAGAAGATGAAGAGAAGGTATCAGAGCTGTTTATATGTATGCTATGAATTTTTGTATTTACCGATTAAAAATATTGTATATATGATTTTTTGTAATTATAGATTGAAAATGAAAAACCGCAATCATCTCCATTCGAAAAATTAATAGGAAGATGTTTCGAACCATACTTGAACATTTATATAGAAAGTTTGGATCGCAATTTGGCAGATTTGATGGACAAGTTCGTATCCGATTCTAAAACGCAACCGCCAGGTGCTAAGGAATTTGACGGCATCGAAGGTCCGAGTAGCGTCTTGAGTTCGTGTGCCGATTTGTTTGTATTTTACAAAAAATGCATGCTGCAATGTACGCAACTCAGTACTGGCTTAATCATGCTAAGCCTTGCCGAGACCTTTCAAAAGTACTTACGAGAGTACGCTGTAAAGATTTTACAGAATAATTTACCCAAGTAAGTCTAAAAATTGTGTAAATCAATTCTTTAGAAATTAATAATTTAGGACTTATGTATCTCTTAATGTAATCGTTATAGAATCGGAGGCAGTGTAGGAATTGGTACCAGTATGAGTAATATCACACGTGACTTACGAGATAATTTGTCAACGTCAGGCTTTATTCAAAATTTTCAAAGTTTTCTGAAGGAAGGAGAAACTGCCAGATTTAGCAAAGAGGAGCAATCTCGTATATGCTGGTAAATTGTGAATTCTTTGTTCTAGAACAAGAACAAAGTGGATTAATTATTGAAATATATTTTTTTCAGTATTTTAACAACAGCAGAATATTGTTTAGAAACGACACAGCAATTAGAAGAGAAACTTCGTGGAAAAACAGATAAATGCTGTTCGGAAAAAATAAATTTATCTCAAGAACAGGATATCTTCCACAAGTATATCTTTTTTTTTTTCTTATTTTTATGTTAATTATATATATTTTAGAAAATTTTATTATTGATTTTATTATTAATTTCTACCATTTGTTTTTAGTGTGATTTCAAATTGTATCCAATTGCTAGTTCAAGATCTGGAAGCAGCGTGCGAATCCGCATTGACTGCAATGACCAAGGTAGCTTATAAAAAAATTGCGATTATAATATAACGCATTAATTACATATAATTCAGATATATCATTCTATAATATAGAAATAAAATTAATATATTCTCTGTTATCTAAACTAACATACTTACAATTGTGAGATACACACTATTAATATATAATGAAAATATAATAAGTCTGTTTTATTTATGTTAGGTGCAATGGAGTTCTGTAGAAATTGTGGGCGATCAGAGTAATTATGTTAATACAATAATAGCACACCTTCGACAAACAATACCAACCATACGAGATAGACTATCTTCTTGTAGAAAATATTTTACACAGTTTTGTGTCAAGTTCGCCAGGTAAGATATATTTATCGTACACTAGTTCACATAATACTTTTCGAGGTTCTATAATACTTGATGTTTTGTTTCAGCTCTTTCATAGCAAAATTAGTACAGCAATTATTTAAGTGTAAGCCATTGAATGCCGTTGGCGCAGAACAACTGTTATTAGATGTTCATATGTTGAAAACAGCCTTGTTGGATCTTCCATTGACAGGTTATCAAATACAGAGAAAAGCTCCAGTAACATACACGAAAGTAATTGAATTCTTTAGAAAATAAATAATATTAAATTTATTAAAGTACATTCGTATTTAATATATTATTTATATAGGTTGTAGTCAAAGGCATGGCAAATGCTGAAATGATATTGAAGATTGTAATGTCTCCAATTGAATCTCCTAATGATTTCGTGAAACAGTGCAATAAACGCTTACCTGATTTACAGTCTTCAGAATTCCAAAAAATTTTAGACATGAAGGTAATTTTTGTGATAAGTAAAATTACAGTCTGTCGTATTTTTTTTATCAATAATCTATATATATATTTTAGGGATTGAAAAAGATGGACCAAGATCAATTGCTTAAACAATTTAAACAATCTGAAAATACGGATGTTGCAGAAGCCACGAAAAATTATGTAGTACATAATAGTCCAGAACATGAAGCTGGAAGAATTAAGAGACTAGAAAAGCTCATCAAGAAACGAATTTGAGGATACTAGATATAATATTTATTCTAACTGTATATAGATAAATTTAGGAATTCTCTTTCTCTCATCTTAAAATACATATAATAAAGACTCTTTATACAAAAATGAAAGGGAAATACGAATGTAGGCATACTTTATCAAATAAATACAATACTAAATTTATTTTATCTTTTATTTTTTATATAATTTGTAGATAATACAAGGCAATGATATTAACCTTGTTTCTGTGCGAGTTCCTTCGCCTTAGCTTTTTCTAATTTCGCTATCCTTGCCGCAGATTTGCTTCCCAATAAACCACCACCCCAGTGACGCCTGATTTCGTCATATCGATCATTGAAATTCGTCTTAATAGCTTCAACAATCTTTGCAAAGTTGGCTCTATCGCCAGAATCCACCTGAAATAACGAGATAACATATTTTAATAAAACTGAAATAAAAGAGAAGAATCAGATCTTTTATAAATGCATATCAGATTGTTTTAATTTCATTGTGTATCATTGGATTGGCTCTTGAGTACTCATCATAAAATAATATGAATAGTTTAATTAAATGTAAGTTAAACAAAAATACAAGAAATGAATGTAATTATGTACTTGAGTAAGAGCAATTGCTGAGCAGGTCTTGCGTCTAACCAGACGTCCCAAACGGGCTTTGCCTTTAACGATACAGTATGGTACGCCCATTTTACGACACAAGGCAGGAAGGAACAATACAATCTGTATCAATAAAGAGAAAATTGATTAGATTGATACATATAATTTTTTGCTATATATATATATATATAGTAATATAAGACAACACTCAGATAGTCATATGTCATTCCTTGAATACAGATATTAAAAATATTTATATTCTCAGATGAAGAAATTCAGTCATCACAGTTAAATATACGAGACACTACCATGTCTTCAGATGAAAATTTGAACAATGTTAATTTACTATACCATAAATCAGACATTTAGATGAATAACTAACCTCAATAGGATCAACATCATGAGCTATAACAACTAGCTGAGCTTTCTTTTGCTCCACTAGTGTAGTCACTGTGTTGGTTCCACTGCGAATGACATTCGGTTTCTTCGTCGGTGTGTCTTCCTTTTTTGCAATCTTCTGTTCAGCTCTTGCCTTCAATCGTGCCTTCTTCATGGCTGATGATTCAGGACGGTACTTTTCTAATACCTTGAATAACTGTGTAGCTATAACATAAGAATAAAGTATTATATAATATTTGGTTCATATGTAAATAAAATTTAATTTATTTTAAATCATACATAGAATATACATCTTACCAGTTTGTTTATCCAATGTTTGTGTAAACTGGTTTATTGTTGGAGGTACTTTCAACCTCTTCTGCAACACAGATCTTTGACGCTGAATACGAATGTATTTGGGCCATCTTACAAAGCGGCTGAGATCACGAGCCGGTTGAATGTCCTGTCCTAAATTTTAACAAAATTTCATAGTAACACGTGACTGTTTTACATATATTAAATATAAAGTATAGTATAACTCTGTTTATTCCAACATGTCAAGAGATAAAACAGTTCCTGTAATTGAAAGGTTTGGATAATAGAGACTGACTTGTTGTCTCCTCTAATAAAAAGTATTTATTAATTCTGATAAAAAAAGCTGAAACTTAGAAAACTGAAGGTGTCAAGTTTTTTATTTTTATTTAATCTACTGTAGTGAAGCAGAAGTAAATGGAATAAAAGATTGCAAATAAACAGAATTCTTCTGTATTAATTAGAAATAAAAAATATTATACTGACTTACCAATGCCAAAGTTACGTGTTCGCTTCTCAAAGAGTGGATTGGTCACTTTCTTCGGTTCAACCTTTTTAACTGCCAATGGTGCGGCAGCTACTTTCTTTCCAACCTTCTTCTTAGGCTGAAATTATAGAGAAATTAATAGTAATAAACGTGCAATATAGTTAAGTAATTTTAATAAGTTTTTTCTTAACACATTGGTATGTGTATAATTTTAACCAAAGTATGTAAACTAAATTAGAATTATTACTATTTTTATGCAAGAAATAACTTTTAAGAATCGAACGATTTATCTGCTTTATCTTATGAACATTATGCGCTTATTGTTGAACGCCAATCTTTCAATTTTCACCGATATCTACGAAATCACTTTGTAAAATTAGGTTATAAAATGTTGAATTGATATCACCTAAATGAATCAATTTGTTTGAGCATTGTTATATCCAGAAATAGCATTTTTCAGCAAAAGTAAGATTTCGGAAGACCACAATTATCACATTACATAATTACTGAACTAACTATAAAACGAAAACATATTTTTAGGCTACACGATGAAGAACATGCTTAAGATTCAAACAAATTTAAACATAGATATTTGACGCAACCGACACCGTTTGCCAAAAATATTAATCGTGCACGATGATTTGGTAATATTACCTTTTTCTGAACCATTTTCTAATTAGAAATCCGAAGGATTTCTGTAAATTTTATCGGATTAAAAATATAGTATCTCGTCAAGCGCGACGCGAAATACGGCGTCGACACCGTAAAGAAACCAAGAAGGGTTCAGATCACGCAGAGACGCAGCGCCTCCGAAACGCCATATTGAAACTCTTCAGTTCTATGGTTTCATGGTTTGTTTCCCTATCTAGTGAAGGATATATCTTAGGGATTTCTATCTAGTGCATAGGGATATATCCCTATCTCTAGTTCAGTGTGTAGACAACACAACTGAACACAACCTAATCATGTAGATGTTGATTTAAAATATCAACAATTTTATTATGAAATATTCCATGTTATAAGAAATTAGAAAAACACATTAAGAGAAAGTGAAATTATTTCTAAGGGATAAATATATTGCAAAAAAAAAAGATAAATTAATTAGTTCTTTAGTTTTAATTTTAAAAGGAAAATCAATCGAAATTGTGCGATTGAGAAATGACATCAAAGATTTCTTTCCATGGGAGAAACTGGATATTACACAGTAAGCTAAATCTACTGAATCCTAGACATAATCCTAATGGTGCATGCAACGCTGCATCGACATCCACATTGCCATCAGACAGTTCGATGAATGTGTTCGATAGGAATGCAAAGTTGTTGCAGCGTGAACGTGCCGCCAAAGATGCTAACGTCCAGGTATATGATTACATCAAAGACGAGGTAGGCGACAGATTGGCAGATAGAATATTCGACATCAAACGAAAGTTTGGTAGGATCCTCGATTTGGGATGTGGCCGTGGTCATGTATCCAAGCGGATCTCCAGCGAGTCTGTGAAGGAATTGGTGCTAGCTGACATGAGTCCGGGTCTTCTGCAGCAGGCTAAGACCACAGAAGGTGTAAGAGTCAAGAAGAAAGTCATCGACGAAGAGAATCTGTCTTTTGAGCCTGATAGTTTCGACATGGTGATTAGTTGCCTAAGTCTTCATTGGGTCAATGATCTCCCTGGATGTTTCAGTCGTATCAATAGTAGCCTGAAGAATGATGGAGTCTTTATAGCAGCTGTATTTGGTGGCGATACACTTTACGAATTGAGGTAAAGGCGACAGGTTTACATTGAAGTTTTTCCAGGTTCTATTTGTGTTTATTATTTCTGGCATTCATTCTGATAATATAGAAGTTCCTTGCAATTAGCTGAATTTGAGAGATACGGTGGGATCTCACCACACATCTCGCCATTTGTACAAATCAGAGACATTGGATCTTTATTAACAAGAGCAAACTTTACTATGTTGACTATCGATACCGATGAGATAGTCATTGGTTACCCAAGCATGTTTGAGCTTATGTGGGATTTGAAAGGTAAACAATGTTACACAAAATTCTTGATTAAATAAAATATATAATAGGCATGTAAATATATTATGCAATTTATTATTTAGGAATGGCTGAGAACAATGCAGCTAGAAATCGCAATTTGCATCTATCAAGGGATACGCTAATCGCAGCCGCATCTATATATAAAAAGCTTTACGGAAAAACAAAAGAAGATAACATAACATTTGTTCCCGCCACGTTTCAGATAATATATATGTTAGGATGGAAACCAGACAAATCTCAACCAGAGCCTCTCAAGAGGGGAACAGGACAAGTATCGCTCAAGGATTTGTACAAACTGGATCAAATCATCAAAGAAAGCAAGAAGATAAAATTAGACGATGATGATAAATAGTCTGTGTTAAATAGTCTTTATTTGATCGCGCATTGAACAATGTAAATAATCTATACTCTTTCGAATAATAAGCGTAAAAAATTAACTTATTCAACATTCATATATTAATAAGTATTATTATTTCTTTTGCATGTTGCCACTTTACGATTTCTTTTCCTCGTCCTTGTGAACTACGATACCCTTTTCTATAAGCTCTGGAATCTCTACTGCTAGCCAGGGTCCCAACTAGAAAAGAAATAACATGGTGACTTTTTTTTTATGAAAGTATCTTGATACAAAAATTAATAAATTTTTGGAGTTGTGTGATATGGACTCAATTGTTTTCTTTATATGCAAATTTTGATTACTTTTATTAAAATATATTTATTGATTCTTTATCAATGTAAGTTATTTTGGTTTCCTAAAATTAATTAGTGCTCTTTATTATAATATAAATTAAGTAGATCTTGTAGATCTAGTATCAGTAACTGTTACAAACTTTGTCAAAAATTTTGGAAGCTTAATGCTTTCACTATGCATTTAATTATTAAATGTATACGATTTAGCTTACACCAAGAGCCATTGCATGAGCAATACCGAACTTGGGAACGTTGCGAGCCCACAATGGCTTGAAATGATCAGTCAAGCAGATCTTGCCACCTCTATACATTTTTGCAGTTTTACCATCCAATTCTGGTAAAGCAATTTCAGGTGCTGTTGTGGGATATGTGATGGGAATCTAGTATCCAAGAAAGAAAAAACTTAATTAAAATTTTTAAACGTTGATTCATTTTTAGGTTATAATAATTTTAATTTTTCTTAATTATATTTCTAATTTTCTTATATGTGATAACTTTCTATTTATAATTATTGATAACTCTTGAATTGTCCTTTACTTTATCCTTTTATTGTCCCTGAATGTAATATCTCGTAAAAATAACCGAGACACTACCGTGTCTCTAGATTTTTCTTATTTAAATAAAAAAAAGCAAATGAGTGTAATTACTTACATCAAATTCTATCTCAAATTCATACTTCAAGAAATTTTGAATATACCAGCACTTGCCAAACCACTTAGTGCCTTCCTTGTTTGATTCTAGCCGGAACCAGTCATTGTCTGCTTCTTTATTATTTTTAACATACTATATAACAATAAAAAATTATATAATTAAATCTATGTATTAATTAAAAACTCTTTTTATACTGATTATACTTATTCTAGAGATAGATTTTTAATATATAGAATATTTTTTAGGTAAATATGTTTGCTGTTCAATAATGAGCTCGCCATATGAATTAACTCCTAACATTTATAAACTAAAAATAAAGGAAAATATATCAGGCATTTGAAAGTCAGGTGTGATAATTGGAGCAAAATAATTATTTAATTTACATATTTTTTAATAAGTCGATAAGTTAATTATGGATTTATTTAAAAAAATATATTTAATAATATATTAAGTAATATATTTAAAAAATATATTAAATAATATATTAAGTATAATATATTTAAAAAATATATTAAATAATTATCTTGCGCTCCAATTATTATCCTTGACTCTGATTTACCCGATATATTTTTCTTTATTTTTTAAATTCCGAAAGTCCTTTGCATATATTATATTTATAAATATTATTATTTATAAATTAAGCAACAAAAACTATATTCCATATGGAAGTGTGACTCACACACATAAGTTTGTGCAAATGAAGAGAATCTGTCAATTCTCTCACCTTAATTAGAGCCTGATATTCTTCTTTCAACCTTTGAACCCATAAATCCTTGTCTCTGGGACCGGCTTTTGTTTGCAATAACGGAATATTACTCAAAGTCTTCTTCGTCGACTCGTCAACCATTTCAATCGGATTAATCAAACATTTCACGGTTTATCTTGAAGGTTATGGTGCACCAACTTGCTGTCGCGCCATCAGTGTCGCCAACCTAATATTGCACCGCGTTGCACTTCTTCAAAAGTGTGTGATAACCAATAACGATTAGGAAAACAATAGATAACAATTGATGCGCATCCCTCCAAATAAGTACGATAAAAGATACAATTTGTTTTCTCGCTTTTATACTCTCATTTTTAGGTCGTTTTTACAGTGCACTTGCTTTTCAATTTATTAATTATATTCGTAAACGATTGCATTGGTTGCATTTCTGTGACTGCCACTAAACAAGCGTGTGGCGTGTTGTGTCCGGTCTCCGGTGTCGTTCCATTTATGCGAAGGCCGTAACAGTGAGAGATACGAAGAAACGAATACTTGTAAGTGGCGATGAGATGCTAATCGACCATCAGTAGTGTACTTGTAATTGAGAACAAATTTTAATGCACGATGGCTGATTCATCGTATGAAAAAGGGTTAACTGAACTATCGAAGATGAAGGTAAGTGTCTAACGTAAGTTAACTCCTTGTTTCGCGCAACTCACTGTTACTCGGTGATATCATCAAGTTTCCTCGAGCCTAAAAAGTTGTAGCCTCCAATTGCTCCTGATTAATTGCTCTCAATCATACACTTCCATTGTCGATTTTAACATGTTTCGACGGTCACCGGTGACTGATAATATTGTTAACTTATAAATGTATAATATAAACTATACAATTGCTCAGAATTGTAAGGCTGATTATGTTTGGTAATAATAGACAAGCTTGATAAAGAGTACTGATAAACGAATGGATATTTTTATTTATAATAGATAATATTAATTTTTGTATCTCATTATTTTTATTATAAAATACTTCAACTGGTGAACAAAAAGTCGGTTAAAATATGCTTGTAAGATTATGAATAGTATTCGTATTCCATTCTGTTTTAAGATTCTTAAGTAATTCTTAAGTAATTCCTGTTTTAATTATAATATGTATCATTTTCTCTTTGCAAATTACAACTCACATAATCTTTTTTTCCATAATCTTTTGCAAATGAAATAGGATGAAACATAAGTCATTAAAAATTTTGTTTATTTTGTTGTAGAATTTCTTTCCTTTAATTTCTATAACATTGCTATATTTTTTAGGTAGCTGATTTAAGGGCTGAATTGAAGCAACGAGGACTTCCCACTGCAGGCAATAAAAATGAATTAGTAGAAAGACTCCAGCTAGCAATCCATGGAGGTTCTGTTTTTTACTCTATTTTAGTTCTTTCTTCAATATAAATATCTTAGGTATATTTGTGAAAGAATTATTTATATTTTATAGATGCTGCATTATCCTTGGACGAAACTACGGAAGAGATTTTAGATGAAGATGAAGTACTTGGTGTAAGTATCAGGGAATGGAAGTAACTCGTTACTTGTAACGAAGTTACAGTTACAAGTTACTTTTTTGGTAACTTTACTGGTAACTGCGTTACTTTCTTTTTTTGGTAACTGTAACGGTAACGAGTTACATTTTTTGGGTAACGGTAACGAAATTTACAGTTACTTTTGTCGTTACTTTGCACACGATTAAACACGGTTCGATTGGATACATGCTATCTATAGCGCTTATCAATAAGACTTGAAAGCCCTTAGACATTCGGCCGTTATGATTCAGTAATTATTTTACACTTCTATCTTCTATGTAATACATAGGACATACAAATATTTCAGTTTGCTGCATATTTTACAGGTTTTAGAATTACAAAATTGTGTTTAAAAAAAATTAAAA